GGCAGGATAGAAATATGCATTGCCAAAAAACCTCCCAGCAACAGACACCATCATCTCTCCCTTGGCTTTCTCTACCATCTCACTCTTTGTCTCTGTTTTTTTTTCCTCCTTCCTCTCACTTTCTTTCTCTGACTGACTGACTGGTAGAATCGCGCCTATACGTTCCACATAAAGTTAATTAAAACGCGGCAGAAATCAATACGCTTTCTAAAATCTTCTTACGGGCTAATTATGATGTAAGCCGCCTCGTCCCACATTCTCACACATTATCTGTGTGTTTTTTTTTTTTTATATCAGTGGATTTAGGATGGATAATCAGTCCGCATGTGAAGCATAATCCAATCTGAGCCTCATCAAATAACACAGTTAAAGGAGCGGTTACATGACGGCGGTGATGCTCGTAAATAAGAAGCTGCAGACCAGATATCCTGCAACACAGTAGAGAAAACAGCTGGACCGGTTCTGTCCAAACGGAGCTGAACCGGCCTACCAGCAGGAATAACACACTGGAGTAAAAACATTCATTATTATCATCATCCACATATGTTAGAAATAGATTAATGATGTTAAATTAATCCTATTTTGAATGAGCGCCTTAAAATCATAAAAGCTGCAGACCTAGTATTACTTAAAAAAAAGAAAAATTCTATGTATATATTATTAAATCAAAAAAACAAACAAACTGTGATGATTATTGATTGTAGAACAGTTGAGATTATTGACAATCACCTGTAATTAATGAGTCCAGGTTTTGACAAAACATTAACAGGAGGTGACGTCCAGTTTTTCTTTTGCGTTTATTAACCTTTTAAGACCTGGTGTCCACACAGTAGTTAATTTTTTACATTTTTACAAATTTTTATTATTATTTTATTATTGAATTTTTACATTTTTTAAAAATTCTAAAATAATAAAAAATGCAAATCAAACAAGAGCTCAGGTCCCAAGACGTTAAATAAAAACAGCTGGATCCATATGAGCGTTACCAAAGTAAGAGAGCCGTGCACGTTAACTTTATTAATTAATTCTGATTATAAATGATCCCCGACATGGAGACAGGACTGTTGAGGATCTAACATGTTTATCAGCTGCAGTTAAATCACACAGCGAGTCCTGAGCTCCGGTACAGATATATATTTTTTTTCTATTCATTGAGTAGCAGCTAGAATCATCACACAACAGCCTTTTAGATATTTGAAGCATTTACCAAAGATTCCATCAGTTTATTTTTGTGGTTGATTAGTGCGTTATTATATCACATGCACACACTGTGGTTCTGTCTGTCACTGATGACTTCTATCTGAATGGATTCCATCACTTTAACAGACCAGCAATGCTCCCCCATCACATGTTGACTTTAATGCACAAAAAAACAAATCTGGAAAACCAAAACTGAATCAGCTGTCTACCTACAGACCTTTGATGGACGTGCTGAACCAGCGTTCCTTTATTTCCATGCCATATGAAGCTACAGGAAGTGCCAGACTCCCTCCGGCCTGGTCGATGACCACGTCTGGAACTTCTTCTTCTTCTAGATCGCTAAAATCAACAAACAGCTGACCACTTACTCACCTCGGCATTATCTGTGTCCAGTCTGAAAAACAAATTGCTTTTCTTGCATTAAACGTAAACCGAAGCGTTGACGTGTGTCGTCTGCTGTTCGTGTGAACGACACCAAATCAGTTTCCAGTCACACTGCGACACTAAGGGGCCATTTAAAAAGCATACGGACAGAATTCAGTAAATGCAAACGTCCTCGTGTTCTCGTTTACGTCCTTTATGCGATCGCAGCACGCCGCGCTCGTGTTGTTTCACCGTGTTTTGTGTTCTGGTCGGTATGAAGCTGTGATTGTGGTGCTGATTTGTCATTTTGTGTTCATGTGTGTGTGTGAATGTGTCAGTGTTTGTGTTTAAACCCATCCAGACGTGTGTGTGTGTGTGTGTGTGTGTGTGTGTGCGTGTGTGTGTGTGTGTGTGTGCATATTCCAGAGCCGGGTTGGAAGTGGGTCTATTTCTTTTGCAGTCACTGATGTGCCCCTGTGTGTGTAATTGAAATACCTGAGTTATTGACTCTCCCTCCCCCCCTCCAAGTCAAATAACTGCTCCAGGAGTGTGTGAGTGAACTCATCTGGAGGCTCTGGGGCAGAGCAGGCGGTTCTGGCAGACCGAGGCCCGCCAACCGTGGAGACGCACACACACACACACAACCCGAAGCCTGACTGAGGCCGAACCTGCAGACACGGTGGTCGGATTGTAGAGGCACAAAAAAAACACACACGTGTGCATTAATACAGACTTCATTCTGCACACACACACTCCTTCCTGGTCTCTGGTTGAGCAGCTCAGCCGCCTCCTCCTCCTCCTGTGTGGATGGCTGGCTGACCGCCTGACGCCTCCCTCTCCTTCCCCATCCAGCCCATCGTCACCACATTGTTCCTCTTTGCATCCGAGGCTTCAGCTGTACATCTCTTAATTCCATTCTCTCTTATCTGCTCCCTCTCCTCTGGTTTTATCTGCTCTTTTCCTGCCCGTCCCTCCCTCTCCCTCCCGTCGCCTCCATTCATCCTGCTGTATTGTGTGCTGTAGTGCATTGTTGTCTGTGTACAGTAGCCAGCGCTGACGTCAGATCCACCGAGAAGACAGTGACCGGCTCAGGAGCTCGTTCAGAGCCTGGCTGGCCGGCTTCCCGCCTCTGGCTGACTGACTCGCTGGCCTCGCTTTACCCCCTCTGGGAATTTTAATGCTCGCTAATCGATCACCTCGTGCCAACAGAGGTGATAATGTGGCCAGAGCCTAATTATTGTTGCTGTAAATGAAGAGTGGTGTTTTGCAGCACTTCATTTCAGTCAACCCCACTCCCACCAGCCTTTTTTTTTTCTCCCTCTCTCCCGTCTTTGGCCTTCTTTTAACATGTGCTTTTGTGAAAGGCTAATGAAAATCCTGCAGACCTCTGGCACTCCGACTGGACGGCGCATTAATAGCGCCCTTAAGAAGAGAGAGGAGGCGATGGCGGGGTGGCAGGAGGTGCTCTGTGGAGGATGACGGGGGGAGCGGGAGTGCGCGAGTCTGGAAATTCAATTATAACTGTGCCCTGGCAGTAACTCCACTGGTATTAATGGGACGGCGGAGCGCGAGAAGAGATGGATAGAGATGGATGAGAGGGAGAGGAGGTAGAAAGTTCAGCAACAGATGGATTTGAGTTAGCAGAGAAACAAAAAAAACCCCCAAATTTTTCAAGTTTCAAGTAGAATCTGACCCGTTTTGACATCCGATAGGGTAAAAAAAATACCCTGACAACGTTCTATAAGCCTGAGATTTGATGGATTTACCAAAAATGACTCAAACTACACAAAAATGAAAATATTTTTTAAAACTTCCGCATAATTTTTCTGTTTCAAGTCAAATTTGACCCGTTTTGACATTTGACAGCAGTAAAAAAAATACCCTGAACGTCCTTCTGTGAGCCTGAAATTTGATGGCTTTACCTAAAGCGACCAGAAAAACACAAAAATGAAAATCTTAAAAAATTTTATCCACAAAATATTTATATTTCGAGTCAAATGTGACCCATTTTGACATCCAACAACAGTAAAAAAAACACCCTAAACGTCGTTCTTTAAGCCTGAAATTTGATGGCTTTACCGAAAGTGACCCAAAATACACAGAAATTCAAATATTTAAAAATTTTGTCCACAAAATTTTTGTTTTGAGTCAAATTTGACCCGATTTGACATTGGACAGCAGTAAAAAATACCCTAAACGTCATTCTTTAAGCCTGAAAGTCGATGGCTTTACTGAAAGTGACCCATAATAAACAACAGAGATAGATGGGAGGAAGAGGAGATAGAAAGTTGGGCAACAAATGGGTTCGAGTTTGCAGAGAAACGTGATAGAAATCAGTGCATCATGATTTCATAGTTTCAGTGCTTCATATTTCACAGCACAGGATACCGACGTGTTTCCAACCTCAGCGTGCAGCACATTATCCTCGTTATTTTCTTTTTTCCTCAATATGCCACCTCAATGGTATAGCGCTGATCTCATTAATGCAGGAACAAGGTAGCGGATCAGCCGATGTGAATCCCCCGGGACGGGCAGGTTAGCCTTTGATGCTGAACGAGGAGCCCTCAGAACCCCGTCCTCCTGCCTCCTCCGTCTGCCGGATACGACTCCTCTCACTCAGTCCAACGCTCACACACACACAAAAACACAAATGTAATCCCCATTCATGCAATTTGCCACATGAGACGCACGAACACCCGGGAACAGGCTACTGTACGTGGTGTACGCGGGAGCTGGACGCCGGCAGATTGACTCACACATACATAACGAGCTGCAGCCTCGTCTAGACTAGTATTTCTCACCTCCTCCTCTTCTTCTGTCCGACTCGATATTCCGTTTCAGCACCGGTGGCAAGAAACGAGAAGCGTGGTTATCGGTGTGTGAGCAGCGTTTATTGGAGAGTCTGCCTGTAGCGCTGTTTGGTTTCTGCTGTCCGTCCTGTATCAGCCCCTCAGAGGGACTCCAGTGTTTTCAGGTTGTGTTCTCCGTCTGTGTAAATCTGCTGCAATCGCTCTGTTGGCTTTAATAAAACAAATTGACGAAGCTGATTGATGAGATTAAGGGCGGCGACCTCGAGTCCTGACAATTTGCTCCGGCCGCCCCGGTGTACAAACTCATTAAAGGAGTCATAAAGGCAACTAATGAAAATCACCACCGCCATCATTACGAGCCCACCGGTGTCCTCGGCGAGCCAGAGAATGAAGGCGGCTAAATTAATGCTCGCACCAATAGCGTTACCAACCAACCCGCCGCCGTCCTTTAAGTAGCAGCTAGTCTCCTGTGTGTGTGTGTGAAGCCGACTAAATTAAAGTTCAGGCCGACGTAACGTTTACACTCCTCTGTGTGTGTGTGTGTCGTTTTCAGGATGACAACTCCATGTTCTTTCAATTCGGCCCCTCCATCGAGCAGCAGGCGTCCGTCATCCTGAACATCATGGAGGAATACGACTGGTATATCTTCTCCATCGTCACGACGTACTACCCGGGTTACCAGGACTTTGTCACCAAGGTAACGGCACGCAGCAGCGGAGACAACATGCACACAGTCAGTACGTAAAGGAAGAGGACGGTAGGAGAAATATACTGTACACATAAACCTGGGAATCTGCATTATAATATACATATATATATCATTAAAAGGTCCCAGGTCTGCTACATTACTCTGTTATATACAGGAATCATAACAAGCGTGTTCAAAGAATTATAGTCCTAAAACACAGAATAATAATTATAAAAACAATAAAAAGTTTGCTCAGTTTGCTCATGAATGAACCCAAACACCAGATCTCTGAACTGTTCTGACAATAATAAGTTTCTCCGTTATATGGTGTCACTGATGCCACAGCGGTGTTTAACCCTTAGATGTTGTTTTGGGTCAAATTTGACCCATTTTGAGATCCGACAGCAGTAAAAAAATACCCTTGATGTTGTTCTTTGACCCTGAAATGTGATGGCTTTACCTAAAGTGACCCAAAATACACAAAAATTAAAATATTAAAAAAAATTTACCAGTAAATTTGTTCTGTTTCGAGTCAAATCTGACCTGTTTCGAGTTTTGACAACAGTAAAAAAAATTCTAGCCACCATTCTTTGAGCCTTCAATTTGATGGCTTTATCGAAAATGACCCAAAATACACAAAAATTCAAACATTTTAACAAGATTTTTCTGTTTCAAGTCACATTTGACCCATTTTGACATCCAACAGCAGTAAAAAATACCCTGAACGTCGTTCTTTAAGCCTGAAATTTGATGGCGTCACCGAAAGTGAGCCACAATACACAAAAATGAAAATATTTTAAAAATTTTATCTGCAAACATTTCTGTTTTGAGTCAAATTCGACCTGTATATCCACTGAGATGGACTTTAGATCTATCAGTGTGGGTCAAATCGAGGAAAACGGTGGTTTGAAGGAATCTTGAAGCTGTATTTTTTATTTACATTTACTAATGTGACATCGGCTATTCAGACATAAATGGATCTGTAGTTTAACATGTGGTTCAGACATTTACTATGAGGGGATTCTTCCCAGTACTGACCTGAACCATACTGGGAAGGCATAATGACCAGTATGTCAGCGTTAATTTAACACCTTCATCCTGTGATTTCTTGGGAAACGTGTCAAATTAACATGATGTCAGGTAAAATCCACTCGTATGAGAGTTTCATCATGTGACAGAATGGAAACCGTCCTACTGCTTAAATAATAATAACCTTCCTCATACGTCATCAGCCTCTGTCTCTTCTGCCTCGTCCAGATTCGTAACACCATTGAGAACAGCTTCGTGGGCTGGGAGCTGGAGGAAGTTCTGCTTCTCGACATGTCCGTCGACGACGGAGACTCAAAGATCCAGAACCAGCTGAAGAAGCTCCAGAGCCCCGTCATCCTCCTCTACTGCACAAAGGAGGAGGCCAACACCATCTTCGAGGTGGCCCACTCCGTCGGGATCACCGGCTACGGCTACACGTGGATCGTGCCCTCGCTGGTGGCCGGAGACACTGATGTCGTGCCTGCAGAGTTCCCCACAGGTAAGGAAACGTGAAACTGAGTCAGAGTTTGGAATTAAATCTGGATCCCGTTTTATCTGACATAATCTCACCGTGGAAAGACGTTTGATTGCTTTGGGCTCAAACCTTAAGCTCTTCTGAGCACAATAATCACATGACATGCAGCGGTTGGTCGGTGTTTATCCAACGAGCGTCTGAAGTGCCTCCATTTCTACACAGGTGTCCCCATTTTGAAATAATTCACTCACCATCGTGCTGTTTGCTTCTGTAAAGTAAGGCAGGTCAGCAGTGGTGCAAAGAAATCATCTACAACATGAACAACGTCATGAAACAGGACTCAACCCCCAC